GACTTCCTACATGAAGCAATGTCTACTGCACTTTTGAAGTTCTTTGACTCACAGAGTGATAAAAGCAGTAAGCAACTATGCATACAAACCTGATGAATCAACTTTGAGCTGATTTTGATCAAATTTAGATTTTTATGAATTTTTAAAGTTGCTCCATAATCAGACCAAAGTCCCTTTACTGGCCTCAAGCTAAATTTTGCCAAAATTGAAAAAGAGGAAACTTTTTTATCTGATGCATATACATGTACTTAGGTTGTGTAGAAAGTTTGAACAGATTCAGATCAAGTTTGGATTTTTTACAATTTTTAAAGCTGTTCTAAATGCCATGTACTTTATTGTAGTACTTGTCAACTCATCAAGCTTATACTATTTAGCTCACTTAGCATTCATTGTGGGAATCTCTGATTGTAATCAATTTTATCAAAGAAATCTAAGTAGGAGTAGTAGTAACTGAAATCCTTTAACATGCATGGCATGTGTTCCTTCATGTGCATAATTGGCTACTTTGTTTCAATAAGTTATTATTATAATTTATTTTACAGATGGTCCATTCCTCATAAGTTGTGGTGTTGCTTCAGGTCTCTTTCTTGCTGTTGATCCAGAAACTCATGCTGTTAAAGCTACCAATGAAGTAACTAAAGCCACAAACTTCCAGATCATCCCCAGTGATGATAAATACAATGAGTTTTATATTACATATCATGAGGAGATTGGACGAGTCCTTCGAAAACGTCGTTACTCGGTCTTTTGCACAAGTGACCCTGGATCAACAGCTGCTTTGTATTTGAATGCTCCTGTAAATATGAGGGGATGCAATGATGGTCCACTTTACATGTCAGACACAGTCAGTGATGAATCCAGTAGATTTGTACTACACAGTCGTATAATTCATAATAAAGTATCGCCAGTTTCAATCAGCACTTGGACCAATGGGACTGAGATGTTTTTCCTCAACTGCTCTCGAAGGAAGCGCAAAATAAATGGCTACCTTGCCGTTAAACGTGTAAGAGAGAGAGGAGCTGCAGACACTTACATAACAGCATGTATGAGCAGTAGAAAATATCACAATGGCACCAGTGTGCATATGCTCTTTCAACTGATACCAACCTACCTAGTTGAAGATGAGGAAGGTAGTGAAGATTACAATGATGAGAATGAAGAAGAAACACCACAGCCAATTGAACAATTTGAAATCAAGGAAAGTGAAACTTTTTAACTTTTGTGCATAATGTATGTATAATGCATGCATATAATACTTGCTTTATTGACTTGTCTTGCATCTAGCCCTGGTTGTTCTAAGACTTGGCACTTCTGTGATTTATTATTTATGCTATACCTTGCAATTAAACGTGTGAGTGAAAGAGGAGCCGAAGACACTTACATAACTGCATGTATGAGCAATCGAAAGTATCACAATAACACCAGCGTATATTTATGCTCTTTCAACTGGTGCAAGGTCACTGCCAAATTAGGAGTTGCAGAGAGGGTGAAAAATTGCCTCCCCTTTATTAAAATTGCTTGCAATAGCACAAACTAGCTATGATAATTAATTGTTGGTGTGCATGATGCGTCATAGTCTAGGTAGTTGTAATTTGACAGTTTTGCAGCATTAATGATCTGATATCACAGTCATAGGCACAACAATATCAGTCATCACAGACAAGGAAATGATTATGGATGAAAGAAAGGAAATATTTTGATCTGAATAGTGGGGAGACACTTCCTTGAATGGTCTGACGTGGAAGCTTCATTCCAAAGCATGGGAGTGGTATGCATATCAAATTATATAAAGCCTCAGTAGTTCCCACTCTAGTCAGAGAAAAAAAATTATCCCTACAATACTGAATGGCAATGGAAATAACTACAACAGAATTTGAAAATATCGAATCTGCTACTAACCAAGTACTCCCAGTCATTTGTCAGGAAGAAATATTTCGATACATTGACTTGGGGCTTGGTAGAGGGTTGGATGGCACTGATCAAACACCCTGGCTGAACAAGACTTCTTTTCAAGCAAGGAACATCACCTATGACAATATTCTTGGAACAGAAGAAGGTGGTGCTGTACAAAGCTATGAGAGGGAGATTGTAAGCGTACAGACTTTGCAGTCCAAAATAAAAACCTCTGTTGTGATTCCCAAGAGTCCAATGACCATG